GCCCCTGCTCCCCGCACAGCCCCTGCCGTGCTGCCCGCTGATGCTCATCGCCCGGCTCTTCCCCTCCAGGCACCCCGCACCCTCTCCACATCAGCTGCCGCAGCGTCCTTGACATCTCCCCATCCCAAGGGACGGCCGTGCTTCCCCTCCACCCCATCGCCCACGCCAGCGAGGTGGAGAGGTGAGTGCAGCCCCTGGCAGCTCTGCACAGCCCCGGCATGGGTTTTCCCACTGGCAGCGTTTGCCCACAGCCACCTCCATTCCTCTCTCCCCATCTCCATCCCCCACGGCCCTCTCACTGCCCTGCCTTGCAGGGAGCACCAGCTCGTCGTGGCCACCACACACAACAGCACGGAGGTGGAAGGCGCCTGCTCAGGGGAGCCTCAGCCCTTCAATGCCAGCCACCAGCCTGATGCCTACGTGGCTGCCACGCTCAACCTCACCACCCACACGGAGTTTGTGCTGGGCGATGGGACCCACGGGCAGGATTACCACAACGCTGCCCTCCAGCCGGGCTCCAACTACACGGCCCTTCTCCGCCTCATCCACCACTCACAGCAGGTACCCCTCACGAGGGGCTCCTGCTCCTCAGGGATGCTGATAGCTGGGGCCAGGCCCTTCAGCAGGGTCTAGGGGATGGTCTGGTATGGCCACTGACAGCAAACAGCAGTGCTGGATGGCTTCACTCCCAGCCTGTGTGCTGAGATGCCGGGCACCTTGGCAGGACAGTGTCCCCAGGGTGCTTGGCCACAGCTGGAGCATTCAGTGGCAGTGGGTGGGAGGCCATTGCCCCCAGGGTGGGCATCGGGGCAGGATTGGCCTGAGCTCTCCCTCCCGTCTCCTCCAACAGGCAGAGAAGTTCACCTGCGTGTGCTACAGCTTCTCTGTTGGTAAGTGGGCTCCTTGCTCGCTGTGCCCAATCTTCTCTCCTGCATCCTCCCTTTCCCCAGCCCAGGTGCCTTCTGTGGAGAATTGCTAGCTGAGTGCAGGAGAGGTGGGGTCTCCTTGTCCTACCTCCATCTTAATGGAAATTCTCTGGATATTGAGCCTATATATGGTAGATGTGCTTTGGACAATCTTGGGCCACTTGGGCATGTGTGGCTGAAGACTGTGCATCATCCCTGCCATCACTGCATGTTGCACCTTAGTCCTAGTGCTCCCCTGGTGCATGTGCAACCCCAGAAAAGCAAACACCTCACCAGGCTCTGGCCATGCCAGAGGTATTAGCGCAAGCAAGCACCTACTCTTTCTGCACCAACTTAGTTATCCTTCAATGCAAAGCCTGTGGTGGGAGTTGAGGGAAGCTGCTTTTCACCCCATGATCCTATGGAATCTCCCAATGGCTGGTTCAGGCTGTGCAGGAGCCTGAGCCTGGGCTGTGCTGGTTGCAGGGCAGGAGACGGTGCCTCTGCTGGGCAGGACGCCTGTGGTTGTGGCAATAGCGTTGGTTGTTGCACTCCTGGCACTGGGAATTTTGCCTCTTTTTGTGCTCTTCAGGTCAGTATATGCCTTACCTCTCCTGCTCCCTGTGAGGCATCCAGCACCTTGCACTGCCAGGGAGTGTCCAAGTGGACCCTGAGCTAAAGCAAGGATGCAAGGATGTTACAGGGGCACCAGCCTCTCCTCTGTCTCTCTCTTCTGCTGACTTGCCGTTCTGCAGGCGAAAATACAACAACTCAAAAACCATGGAGAATAACAGCACTATCCCCCTGCGAAGATGTCGAGGAGGTGCAGTATGAGCAAGGGGCCATGCATGCCTTGCCTGGACAGGCTGTCTGTTAAAAGCACAGGCAGGGTGCTTACAGGTTCTGCAAGCACAAGGGGATCAAAGCTGGCTGGCAGGGGGAAGGGGACACCTTCCAGGAGAAAGGCACCTGCATGGGGAGGGACAATCTAGGGTTTCGTTGGGACCTGGCCACTGCAATGCCAGCTCAGTCTCAGCTGCAGAGCTCCAGGGCCAGCCATCAGGTGCATGCTGAACTGGCCTTGTGGTGTGCATAGGCGGGAGCAAGCTGAACACACAGATCCCGGTGGAGGAGCTGCTGGAGGCTCTGAAGCGGCTTAAGAGGGCTGAAATAGAGGCAGAGCAGACAGAAGATGAATCAGTCGACAGGCACAGCGCTGGGCGTCTAAGAGAGTACCAGGTCTGGTTCAGCTTTGTTTTCCCACCTGGCTGCACTGCCCTCACCCCTTCTTTGGGTGTGTGGTGCACTTGGCCTTGGCCAGCCCCAAAACACCTGCCAATGCAGAGCGGGCTTGTCTTCTTCCTCTGCAGCACCTGTCCTCTGCCTTGTTGCATCCCTGCGATGCTGGGAAGGAGTTGTGTAATCAGAGCAAGAACCGCTACAAGAGTGTCATCCCATGTAAGCAGAGCCATCCAGGGCTTGCCACAGGCACTTGGAGGCTGTAGGTGCTCCTCCAGCTCTTCAGCAATGCTCAGCAGCTCATCTCATCCTCTGTGGCCAATGAAAGCCAGAGGGATTTTCCAAAACTGTCATGTTGGCCCCACTGTTTTATATCCAGTTGGAGAATCCTTGTTCTGGTCCTCAAGTCTTCCTGCAAGATTCATCATTGTACT